AGAGTTCATATTCTTACCATATAAAAAAAAAAAAAAAAAAAAAAAAAAAAGAAAGTAAATTTAAAAAGCCATCATATTCCATTCTTCTTTCTCAGTTTTTCTTTAGAAATAAAAAGGGAAACATGGAAAATTGTTTTTTTCTGCTGGTTTAGAGTAGAATAATTTACTTTAAGATACTTTCTTCTGAAAGCTTTAAAAGTATATTTACCTATAACAAGATGGCAAATAAAAACAAATGAAAGAAGGCCAAGTACAGTGACTCACACCTGTAAAACTACCACGTGGGAGCCAAGGCCAGAGGACCCCTTGAGCTCAGGAGTTTGAGACCAACCTGAGCAAGAGTGAGACCCCATCTCTACTAAAAATAGAAAAATTATCCCAGCGTTGTGGTGGGTACCTGTAGTCCCAGCTACTCAGAAGGCTGAAGCAGGAGGGTCACTTAAAACCAGGAGTTTGAGGTTGCTGTGAGCTAGGTTGCCCAGCATGGGCAACAGAGTGAGATGGGAGGAAGGAAAGAAGAAAGGAAGAAAGGAAGGAAGGAGGGAAGGAAAGGAGAAATCAGTGAAAATTTCAAGCGGGTAAAGTTTTAGATTTAATTTTTTGATAAGCGCTGTATCCCCCTTGATGTATTGATATTTTTAATTTTCCCTGATTATAATAATAAATTTCTATTATAATTAGGTGTGGCCTTTTGTCCTACTATAAAATCATTAATGGAAACTTCCCACAAGGGAATGTAGGATGTTTCCCAAACAAGGCAGGAAAGGGAGGAAGAACTCCACTTTTTTCTCAGCCTGAATTTATGCTCACATTCAAAAATCCCCATGCTAACTTGCCTACCTTTAATTTGGAAAGCCATAGATTTTTGATATGGTTATAAGGTTCAATTGTATAAATTGGAAAGTTTTCAATTATGTAAAGCAGTACAACACACTGAATTTATACATATGATGGTCAGAACATGGTGGTCATAAAATAAATGTTTTTGAAGGAATGGCTTGGTGTGTCCAGCTCTCCATGTCAGGGAACGCAAATCCAAAGATACTGCAGAGGATTTTACTGGGGTTTACAGCCAGGGGGTTGGCGGGGGCTGTTTGACTTTCATTAATCCTAAAGGCAACACGTGAACTGAGTCTGGAAAAAATGGTAGAATCAAACTCATTAATATGATTAAGACAGTCTATTAAAATAAACATTTTAATTTTTGCCCAATCGATATAGGTTATTTCTGAATGAACCTGGTAAAGCATCAATAGTTATGATAATTATCTTTAATTGTTCCATAGCACTCATTTAGGATTTATTATTCAGGATTTCTCTACACAGACAACTCTAAAGATGACTTAATTTTTTATGGCATGTATATATGTATATATATACACATTATACATAATTTATATGTATAACATATATAGTTAAAGTGGAGAGCTTTAAATTATAAAGAATGTAAACATCTCAGCTAATCAAGCCTGCAATTAAGAAAATAGTTGGATTGGTCACTTTTTATGATAGGCCTAACCATTGAATGTATGTAACATATGTTTGAGAGCAAAAAAATCACATTCCCTATGATTTTATCTTTATACCATAGTATCTTCTGCAATTTTTTTTTTTTTTTTTTTTTGAGACAGAGTCTCAGTATTTTGCCCCTGGTAGAGTGGCGTGGCATCACAGCTCATAGCAACCTCAAACTCTTGGGCTTACCGGATTCTCTTGCCTCAGCCTCCCAAGTATTAGGGTCTACAGGCACCCGCCACAACTCCTGGCTATTGTTTTATTGCAGTTGTCATTGTCGTTTAGCTGGCCTGGGCCATGTTCGAAGAGCCAGCCTGGGTGTCTGTGTTGGGCGCCATAACCACTGAGCTACAGGCGCTGCCCAACTTCTGCCAATTTTTGATCAACTTTTTTTTTATGATTTATTTATCTTGATATATGGAAGTTCGTTCATTTATTTTAACTACTGCTTACTATTTCATTGAATCAATATATCATAAGGTATTAATTTTCTCACTGATTTCCTATCAGCAGCAATATTGCAATGGATATTTTTCAACAAATTTCTTATGCAGAGATGGGAAATTTCGCTAAAGTAGAGTGGAAATGGTAGGAGTAGAATGTTTTGGGTGTTTGGGTGTCTATACTTAAACTTCATTAGATATTGACAAACTTATCTAAAAAGTGTGTGGGCCAACTTATACTTTCTGTTCAGAGTCTGTGTAAGTTCCTCTATATAAGTTCACAGTCTATATAAATTCCTCTTTAAACCATTGTCTATACATAGAGATATTTACAATATATCTGGAATGACAAAATTGTCAAACCCAGTTCTCGTTTGTATATATTCAGTTAGGAGTGAGAAGGTGCAGTTTCATTTCTTAAATTGGATTCATTTTGCGATAGCCGACATGTGAGGTATTGTGAGATAAGCTCTTTGGTTCTGTCTTAGCTGCGCATTAAATTTACCTGGGAGCTTTCAAAAATCCTAATGTTCAAGCCTCACTCAGACTAATCCAATTAGACCTCCCTGGGGTACAAGTGAAGACGGGAGAAATTTGGATGGAGTACTAGGTGTCCCATCTCCCACCTCCAGAACTCAGATACCCAAGGGACCCTATGATGCAGTCCATATGGAGAATTACTACCCTCACATCTGGCTGGTGAGGGAATTAAACCAGAGCATCAAGAAAAACGTTTGGCTGTAGAGCCACCTCTAAAAGTAGGTGGTAAGCTGCAGTAGGATTCTTAGTAGTTTTATATATACGTAAATTAATGACTGAAGAAAAAGATATTCCAAGATATGGCAAAGCTTGAGATCAGAAAGTGAACAAGAGCTGGTCTGTCAATAGTTTGGAATAGAACTTTAGATTAAAAGAGTCAAGATCTAGTCCCTTTAGGAAAAGGCAACTTGTAAAGTCCAGACGTAGATGAGGACCCCAGGACAAATAGGCTGGTTTTTAAGACTCCAGTGCTCACCAGGGATGAAGTGATATCTTGGACCTGAGACATAAGCCTAGGCAGAGAATTTGGGAAAAGGCAGTGATAATTAGAAAAGAAGCATTGCCCGTTTGGGTACCATTTGCTAATAGCAGATAACAATAATCTAATTCCAACTCCTTGGTCGGTGCCAGCTATAGATGTTCTGCCAGACTTAATTAGGATAGATTTTGAAAATAAGTTGTTTTTAAATGTGTGGAATACAAGCTTCTAATTGTTGCTTAGAGGAAATGGAAAAAGTAGAGATTAACACAAATGCCCTCGTTCTAACAAATGCGGAAAAGTTTGTATGTGGTTCATCAATTGTAATGTAAGCTGTTGACATAAACTAAGAATTTAGATTTAACTAATTATTTTATAACTACATTAAATATCATCCTTTACCAAGAGTGTCAGAATGTACTTTAAAGATTAGGTAACAAATGCTCATGGAATTTCAGCTACAGCAACAGGCATTGTTCATCCTTTTCTCAGTCGATACAATCGTCACAGTGTTTTATAGAAAAAAAATGAATTAAGAAACCATTTAGCTTTCCTGATATGATTAGATACAAAACCAAAGGAAAGTTAAGTACCAAATTTGTATTTATGAGCAAGAAGGCATTGACATTACCATATAGATGATGGATTATCTCCTATGCTCAGGAAAGAGTAAGATTTCCAGAATTGTAGTATAGCTAGAACACCTACAGGCATTTCTTTAAAAAAAAAAAAAACTGATCATTAGAGCAAATAAAATTAAAGTCATTCAACGTATGTTCAAATTTTCATTGTGCATTCAAATCACAATAAGGTTTAAGACATGAGGATGATGAGGTGATAAAACAGTGCCTTGAAATAAAAGATCATCTTAGAGAGTCTGCATGTCCTTCAGTGTGACTAGGAAGTCACCAATTAAGGTAAATAATCAAGATAACTCTTTCTTTTCTCCCAATTCAGTGCTGAGTACAAGAGAAGGACTAAATATGTTCAGAAAAGTCTTAATCCTGAGTGGAACCAAACAGTAATTTATAAAAGTATTTCCATGGAGCAGGTATGTAATGATTATTTTGAAGTGATACCTTTAGGCTAACACCTGTAGAACATTAAGAAAATGATTCAAAGATTGGGAACCATAGACATTTTGCCATACGAACAAAGTAGAAAACATATGGAAGAAGTGTAGCCAATGAGAAGGTACAGATGAAGTTTAAATACAGGGCGAAAGTAAAAGCACATTTTCACACAGCAGCCAAGAAATAAACAAATCAAAGCAGGAGACGGAGGGATATTTTTCATTGATTTATTTCCAAATTTAAAAATGTCAATTAGACTGAGCCATATTTGGGGAGAACATATTTTCAACTGGCTGTATTTTGACTTCCACAAATAATACAAAGGAAAAAAACAAGATTCAATGACTAGAAATATATTACTTCACCAGATAAGATTTTAGGAGCTTTTTCTCTAAATTAAGGTCTCCTAAGAATATGGCACTGTGGGACTCTAGAAGACAAAATGATGACTAACGTAAAAGATTATCACCAAAAATAAGTGACTTTAAGCAAAATTGCATCAATCTTCTAAAATCTGTACTTCCTTTGTATGAGTACCAGAAAAAATCTGGTAAGTTATGATGTTGAATTCAGAGTGAAGAAAATACAAACAGAACAGGAAGAAGGCACTCAAGCAAAATCAATTTATAAAGCAGTTGTCTTTCAAAATGAGGTTTTCATTTTGTCCTCCAGTAGATAAATTTGATTATTCAATTGAATAGGGATATAAATTATCCTGTGTTCTTAAGTTAAACTCACCTAAAGAAATTTGAGAATGCTACTGTGATTTTTGTTAAATTATTGAAACAATAGATTTGCCATCTATGAATTTCTTGCATTTAAAGAGCATTTGCAAATTGTGCCCTCTATTTTTGAAATGAGGAAGGCTGAAAAATAGGATATCAGTTCATGGTTACCATTTTGCTCACAAACTAATAAGATTTCCCATCATCAAACTCTAGATTGAACTGCAAAATCCTTGAAATTTCAAATAATATGTAATATAAATCCACATCGTTTTAGAAAAATTTCCAGTATTTTTACACAAATGGAAAGATCTTAAGGAAGTGAAAACCAGTGTGTCTATTATATGAGTGTAATGAAAATCTGTGATGGGGAGGTGGGGTTAATGAGATGTTTATTTGGCCTGTAGCTCAAGAAGAAAACGCTGGAGGTAACAGTTTGGGATTATGATAGATTTTCTTCCAATGACTTCCTTGGAGAGGTAAGCCTCTGATTTCTTTTTCTTTATTTGCTGGCATCAAAAACCACCTTATAAAGCATGATGCAAAGCATCTTTTTTAAAGTTCTAAGGTAGCTGTTTCTGAATAAAATCCTCTAAGAGATAGAATTTATTTCCTGATTTATTCTTTGAATAGGTGATTAGCAAATGAAGATATGGTTTCTGTTCTACTGCTTGATATATTTTATAATTAACTTATAAAATGAAATATTAATTGTCTGAATAGGAGTATGTATAATCATGCCATAAGTCCAAATAGGACTTGAGGTAACAAGCTTATGATGCTGTAAAATAGCTGGATTCTTTAAAATGTATTTTCAGGCCTTTTCATTGCTATTCCTTACTGCACGTATGAAAAACTTGATTTGATTTTTGTACTCTTATTTATGATTAAGTATCTGGAGACAAATCTCTCAAATATTTTAAGAAGCAAAAAACCAATAAAGGGAAAAACAATAAGAAGTAAAAAACAATAAAAACTATTTTTATATCACTGTGCAAGGAATCAAAATAAACTAACCATGAAACTAGCTGAGTGTTCAGAACTCATGACGTTTTGTGTGTATTATATTCCAAAAATATTTTGTTTACTGTTCTATGTAGAACAGAAATTATGAATGAAGTTTTTACACACAAAAAAATTCAAAGCCCACACAATACATCTATGATGCCCCTTTGATAGAGACTTTCAAATAGTTGTGTAATCTAAGTGATAATGAGGGCTTGTATGATTTTTAAGACTCTGTACCTCTCTTCACCAAAACTAGAACCTTGACTTTCAGCCTCAGGTACTCCCACCTCCCAGTCCAGCCTCTGGGACTGTTTTTAGTAGTAGGCAGGACTATTCTAAGAAATAACACTATGCCTGACTTGGTTTCTCATTTTCAAGACTGACCTATTGAAGTCCTTCTAAAGTTTGTCTTCTTAATGCTTACATGAGCCTAGAGCATAGATCCATTGGGCTGGTTTCTATTTCTTTATATGTTATCAAAGCTAAGATGCCACACCTGTAAAACTATTATTTTTATACCACTAAGAAAAAAAATTGCTGCCAATTAAACCATGACATAATGCTTTCTCATCATCTGTTAGTCATGTCCCTATTTTAAACGTGAGCTAAAGTGTTTTTTAAAATAGAAGAAATAAGTTAGTGATTGCACATTATCCATTCTTTCACATTTTGTTTCTTTGTGATTAAAATCAGTTCTAAAACTTGCTAACCAAGTTTAACACGAGAATAAGTTCTTATAACAGAAAAAAAGTTTTGTTTTACTTAAACATTGGTGTGTTACTCTTCTTTTTACCAGGCTACTCAAGTAATTTAATTAATAGTCAAAATTTTTCTATAGTTCAAATTAATCATGTATCAAGCATCTGATATAGGCAAGACATTGTTCCCAATATCATGGGTGAAGAAACATGAGAAAGACAGCCTCATCCTCCTTAGAGATAATACTGTATCCTTTGCTTTATATATCCTGGAATACATTTTAGAGCATAGAAAACATACTGAATAAATTATCACTTTGTCCATAAATTTCACTGATTCATTATATTCATTTATTTCAGGTATTGATTGATTTATCTAGCACATCTCACCTCGATAATACTCCAAGGTGGTATCCGCTCAAAGAACAGACTGAAAGCATTGATCATGGCAAATCCCATTCCAGCCAGAGCAGCCAGCAGTCCCCCAAGCCGTCTGTTATCAAAAGCAGAAGTCACGGTATCTTCCCTGACCCATCAAAGGGTAGGAAATATTTAACATACAGAAAATCTTTCGTATATTTGTTCATTTAGTATGTTCTTGAATGTGAATACCTGTATGTGTAATATTGAAAGATTAGATTCTGTTCGAAAATTTTTCATGCACTATCATGCAAAGAGTAACGGATATGGATCAGAACGAAGGGGCTTTAGTCTCCGGTCAGCACATACTCAGGTGTGCGTTTGTCATGTTCACTTTCTTGATTCTCCATGTTCAACCTGTGCAAAGGAGGAAGCTGGTCAATATGGGCGATTTGGGTTTTTTCTCTCAAAATCTATGATAACCTGGTTTCATCTATGATAACATGGAATATTTCATAAAGGAAATATAAAACTCCCTACCAGTTCATTGACTAGACATAATCATCATGACCATTTACATATATTCCTTCTAATTATTTGTATCTCTTGCTTATTAAAAATATAGTCTTTTCCCAAAAATATAATTTTATGCTCCTTTTAATTTGTCATAGAATATATCCAAGTCATCAAAACAGATATTATGCTGAGATTGACTTACGTCTTTTCTAAATGTTAGAGTCAAGCCATTTTTTAACAATGGTTATATTTTTAAATAACAGTGCATGCTTTGGTGTTGGCCATATGCACAGCTTTCCCACTCAAATGAGCTTTTCTTTTACCGACTGTCCTATAACATAACATTAATCCTCACCTTCAGCTGAGTTATACTGCCTAGACGGAGTAACCATCTAGGTTATTATCTAATAATCTTATGTACTAATAGATCTACTGAATTATTTATAAGTAAGACATGTAATTTTTATATTAGGCTTGAGTATTATTTCCATGTCTCCTTTTCTCAGAACGTTTACCACATCGAAGACTGGTTGTTTGTACGTGAGAAGAGAATAAATCATAAGTGCAGGTGTTCTAGGAGGTGGGAAACTGAGTCCATATCCAGTAGGCCATTGAGTTGAATGATAAACCCCTGACACAATGAGTGCTCTAGATGATTCATGAATTCTCCTTACCCATCTCAGCTCTTCCATGCAAGACCATTATTGTAAAAACCTCTAACATTCTGCAAGACCATTAGTGTAAAAACCTCTCTTGCTAGAAAACATAAGATTCTGTACATTCTCTTTAGTTGTTTGAGATAATGATTTTACAGTCTCCACCTTTAATGTGTCCTCGTGACTCACAATCCTGCATCCAACTATTCACTTGTTTTTTCCCAAAACTCCTCCTGGGGCAGTATACGCTACTGTCTCCTTCCTGATCCCTAGGAGAATGTGCAGAGTTGCTTGGTAAAAGAGAAATGAACACATTTGTGACTTAAGCCTAGTTGGAATGTATTTCTCTTCTCAAAGTTCTCTCTTCTCATAACTATTATCCTTTTGCTTTTCCTTCCCAAAACTGTTTCCCAAAAGTTAGATCACATTTCTGTTTGGCGAGGAGTTGCATAAATGAGCCATACAAGATAAAGTAGTAACAACAATCTTAGAGAGTTTCAAATTAATTCTCTGTAGAACAAGCTCTACCAGAGGAAGGCTGGAACAACTTTAACTCATGTTTTACCCTCTTGTACCAGACATGCAGATTCCCACCATTGAGAAATCTCACAGTAGTCCCGGGAGCTCCAAATCATCATCTGAAGGCCATCTCCGCTCGCACGGACCATCTCGCAGTCAAAGCAAAACCAGCGTCACTCAGACCCACCTGGAAGACGCAGGGGCTGCCATAGCTGCTGCAGAAGCTGCCGTGCAACAACTCCGCATTCAACCAAGTAAAAGACGCAAATAAATTCCTCAGCATGGCAGCTTCATGTTCATCTGTTGCCTTTCTCTCCTGCTGTCCTCCCCTGTCTGCTTTCTGTTTTCGGCACCCCCTGCTCACTCCGTTCACTGTCCCTTTGTCTGTGTTCAGAACACTATCGATACATGAATATGCTCTTTCTTATTTAGATTTTCTTTTCATTTACATAGACTGAAATAAAACTGGCTGTTTCGGCTTTGTTTCCATCATCCATCCAACCTGGCTCATAGTATTTGGTAGCTGTGTCTGTGATGTTTGCAGGCAAAGCAATGTTGTACGTCCCCTTTGTGTGTGCTTAAGTAGCCTTGAGAACACAGAAATTATGAGCAGAAGTGGCTGCCAAGTTTCCAGGCATGACACCAAAAAAGCACACACATCAGGATGTAGAGAAGATTAGCAATGAGATTCCTGCAGCAGAAAGCACTCAAAAATTTTAGGCAGAAGAAGAATGAGGCCAAAAGTCAAGTTCTAGGACCTAGTGGGAGAATCCATTTCGAGATAATACTTTAAAACACTCATAAATTATGCATGTGAAATGTTGCAGCTTTCCATGTGCAAAAATTTCTAGTGTTACGAAAAATCTGTAAAGAAAGTCACATTTCTTATATTTTCCAAAAAAGCACACTATTTGTATGTATATGAGCACATGTGCGAGGCAGTGTAACCTCACTGAGGAGCACGATGGAGTCCATTCGGTTGGAATGCACTTTGTAAATGGCAATAGAGACTTTATAGGTCATTATTTCTTCCTAACCATTGGAAATGCCTTGAAAGTCAAGATGAACTATGAAGAGCAGCTGTAAACCAATTAAAGTATCAAAATTTACCCACCTTCACTGCTGTATTTTCATTTCATTTGTAAGCATGTAACCAGCTGACAATAGCTGCATAAAAACTTAAGAAGTACAGATATTTCGAGAGTGTCAGTGACCTGTTACTTCTAAGAGGCATTAGTCAGGAAATGGAGATAGAGTGTCTCCTTCATCATCATTTCCCAAGAAACAGCCAGTTTTAACCCCCTTCGGCGCTGTGCATGTGGTGTCATTTTGGCATTTGAAACATAACGTACTTCAGTAGAGCAAAAGAACACTTCTGTTTGCATGAGTAACATTGAAGCTGGTTCCATCTGAGGATACACACTCTGGGTTTCCATTTCACCCACACTGCCACAGCAGCACATAAAAGCGGTCAGTCTAATCATACCAGGAAGCAGCACAGACACAGCATAGCAGGAGTCCTCCCTATTCAAAGAACTCAGTCTGATAATCTGCCTCCACCAGCCAATGGCAACCAAGACCAAAGCCAGCTAGCCCTCAGGAAGGTGATGTCTGATGGACCAGTCAAGCCAGAAGGAGGTGAGCAGAAAGGCCCTGTTCAAAGCACACAGCAAGAACATTCCCAAATTTAAAGCTCTCATCTTTAATTTGTAGAGATTGTCTGATAAAAATCTGTTTATCTACTTTTTAATGTGCTTTTGTGGGCATGGCATTTCAGGACCTCATCATCACCATGTAAGTCCCTACATCGGTCCGGTAATATATCGACTACAGTGATTTGTATTTTTCTATGCACTGGGCATCTTCTGACTATTGTGGGGAAATAGATTAACAATATTCATATTGCAGAATGGAATGCATGCTACTAACCTATCTGTTCAAGCATGACTATACATATGTTGCATTGTGATAAAAGTTGAAATTTCTCACAGTTCAAGTTAGCATACGAGCTGGAATGTAGATCAGTATTTGTTGCATATTATTTTAAGTGTAACTTTTAAAAAATTTAGTGGATTTTGGACATTCTTAGAGGAAAGTAAAGGAAAAAAAATTGTTAATGCACTCACTCACCTTTACATGGTGAAAAGTTCTCTCTTGATCTTACAAGCAGACATTTTCCACTCGTGTTTCCATAGCTGTTAAGTGTATCAGATGTGTTGGGCATGTGAATCTCCAAGTGCCTGTGTAATAAATAAAGTATCTTTATTTCATTCATAAACTACTGGGTTCTGAGCCATTGTTATCTGATGCAGCTTAAAATAAGTGTGTCAGTTTTTGTTTTCTCATTTGATTTCTTGCGATAGTCTAGTTACTATTCCATTGTTAGTGAACGCTGTTAAGAATAGATCATGCGGGAGAAGAACAAGATTCCATGTTGGAAACATTATAGATGGAAGATTATTACCAAATAAAAGCACCAGAGCTTACATAAAAATGTAAATAAATAATGAGGTTGGGCTGCCCTAGACAATGCTTCCACTATTTCTCTCCCATACCTGCCCTACTCTGCTATCATCTCAGGGTCCTGGGTAAAGGAAGATAAATTCCACAAACCCTGGTTTTGGAGAGGTAGCCAACCTTGGTCTTATGGCCAAGTTCAGAAGGAAAAGTAAATTTTCATCTGTCCCTACCCTGATCCCAACATTTGTGGAATTTTCCCCACAAGAGAGTGCCACCGCCAGTGGCAGGAACCAAACTTAGAGTGATTATAAACTGTCACCAAATTTAATTTAAAACGCATACAAAATAAAGTTTTTAGGTAAAATTAGGATAGCATTGTTTGCCCCCAAGTACCTCCTAGCCTTAAAATACTTGAGCTTATAATTCTCTATTGGATATAAAATTAAAGTCAAACCTTAAACTTCCCTATTGCATTTCTCATTCTTCTCATAAAATTGAAAACATTTAATATGCTCTTCTCCCAACTCATCAGATATTTGCAGGCAATGTAAGAGGTGATATGGCAGTCCAGAGGGAAAAATGCTGGAATATTTCTTAAAATAGCCAGATAATTATAAAAACAATTAGCTTAAACATTAGCATCATGATGTGTGTGTTTACTCAGACTAATTTCTAGACTATCACCAAAGTACAGTTTCCACTTTATTGCCAACCCTCTACTATTTTTGAAAAGTACTTAAAATTCTACCTATCACTTTTTTCCATAAATAAGTTCTCTTGATTTCTTCATGTCATTCATTTTCTTACTTGACATATTCTATTAACTGCAAGTGTCATACGATCAAACACTTTCCTCTTTTTGCAAATGAGTTTAATTATTGTGGTATAAGTATTACTATATAATATCTTGTATGATTTTTTCCTAGCTGTGGTTCTTAAATTTACATCAAAATATTTTAATCCCTTTGAATAATGCACTAATAGATATTCTCCTGTATTTAAAGTGCTCTGATTGAATTAGAAGTCACTCTTTATTGAAATAACTGTCAAAAGAAAAACTAGATAACAGCATGCTTTCTTGTTTCATTTTGTTGTTACAGATGATAATAATTCCCATTTTCCAAAATATACATAATTTCCCTGCTACTGTCAATATGCCAGTGATATAATTGATCGGTGAATTTGGAGAAACACTTAATAGCAAACATACTACAGGATTAAATTCATGTTTTGATGAAATATATTAATAGTCTGTTTCAAATGTAGAAAGAAAAATTGGTCATAGAAATAAACACATAAATAACCAAAAAGTTTTTGGTCACTAACTGTAGAAATAAGTATTAGTGATAATTTCAAGTGTTTGGTTAAAAGCCTCCCATTTCAGAATTCACATGGAATTCATATAATCCCATCTGCATTCTGGACATAATACTCTGCATTTGAATAGTTCTTCATGTGGTAAAAATTGTTTTGTCTTTCATTTTCTCATTTTATCACACCAAGTGGATGAGGTATTCATTCTAATATTCTTATCCCTGTTTTGGGGGTAAGCAGTCAGAGCCAGAGGTGTAGGATGGCTGATATAAGAACACACAGCTAGAAATTTTCAGAACTCGCACATATAATCTTGTCCTGTGACTCCCAGGCTAACAGTTTTTAAATATAGTACACTGTCTCCTTTGAATCAAACTCTCCTGATTTGATGAAATGAAATAAATTATCATTTCCTTGTTATTTTTCTTTTGTGTTCTTACAAATAATTAAAGGTAGCTAGACATGATGGCAGAATACAATTTATACTCCCTCTACCTACATGATCCTTCTCTCGAAAGGCTGGTGATTTAAAGCAGTGGAGGAAAACCTTCCACGGTGCAATCCCAGTGGGGCGGTAATCAGGGTTCTTAGAGGAGGCGATGTGTACATCCGTAGGCATTTCTATCAAGACAGACAAAATTGTCACGAAAGAGATTTTCAATTTATTTTTGTAAGCTTCTTGGCAGATTTCTGCTTGAACTAGCATAAAATATGGGTCAAGTAAGAATTATAGAGTGAGCCAGAAGGAACTTTTCTCCCTCCCGAGGTTAGTTGCACACTAAGAAACCTGAAGGGAGAGATCAGACAGATTGTCTCAGATCATCCTGAAGCCTGCACAGCACTCTGTCTTTATAAAGCTCTGGAAGTGTTTGTTTTTTTGTGGTTGTTATTGTTGTTCTGTTTTTCTCCCAACCTAGCTGGGTTTGGTTGAACACATTGGCCTTTTCCAAAGGTGACACCAAGGCAGGAAGACAGTTTAGGAAGCAGTTTTGATTTTTGTTTCTTTGAAAACCATACTGAAATAAAAACAAATCAAAACATTCTTAAAACCTGGAGGATTTATTTAATTGGCATCTAGTCAATGCTAAATTTTAAATAGTTTGGAAATTCCCAAGCTATTTTTTTATTCATTCTAAGATTATGAGTCTGAGTTTTAAATTTTAAAATAGGTAATATAGGTCATGTAGGAATAGCTCTCCACCCTGGGCAATAAGATAGGAGCCATTGGGACAGGTTGGGCAGGTTAGTTGAGAAGGTAAATTATTACCTAAGTTGTTCAGGAACATTATGATTGTGAGTTTCTTGGTGTGACTGGATTGTAGGAGAAAAACACGAAGCTACTTCCGCAGACTGCCACTGGAAATTCCGCTCTCAATAAAGCTCATTTGCCACACCTGTCACGGAAGAGTTTCATTTCCATGTGCTGTCTTGGCAAACCCTTACCAAGCCATCGCTCTGTGGGAGCTGCTCTCCTGGGCAA